GGTGATATATTGGTCTGCCAATCAGCGTATATCAAGAAGATCATTTCTCGATTTAACATGGAAGGATGCAAGCCAGTACTTACTCCTATAGAGAAGCTCACTGCTCAAACACCAGGGAAAGCCTCAGATTTTCCATACAGATCGGCAGTTGGAGCCCTACTTTATGTTGCTCGTGGTACTCGTTTTGACATTGCATTTAGTGTAAGTGTTCTATCACGTCACTTAGAAAATCCTACACAAGATGATGTCACAAGAGCAAAGCGTGTTATACGCTATTTGACCGGCACTGTGGACCAGAAGCTAGTGTACCAATCCAAACCTAAAACACGTCTACTGGAGTGCTATAGTGACGCGGACTTTGCTGGTTGTCCAACTACAATGCGTTCAACAAGTGGAGTTTGTTATTAAATACGCAGGTGCAGCTATCACTTGGCTTAGTCGTCGTCAGGAGTTAGTTTCGGACTCAACTTGTGAAGCTGAAATCATTGCAGCTAATCTTGGTTCAAAAGAAACAATCTGGATTGCTCGTTTGTTCAAAGAACTTATAGGATTGTCTGCTGTTCCTATTCTGAAAGTTGACAACGAATCAGCAAGAAAACTCTGTGAAAACCCCGAGTTTCACTTTCGTACAAAACATATTCAGCGGAAGTACCTGTTCATTCGAGACAGGATAAATATAGGTATGCTGACTGTAAAGCACATCGGTTCAGAATATCAACTAGCAGATATACTGACGAAGCCTATAACTCGACCAAGACTTCAAGTTCTGCGAGAAAATCTTGGACTATGCAAATAAGGGAAAGTGTTGAAAATGCCTTTTCTATTTATTTGTAATAGTCATACAGATGATACGAATGTTGTCTTTACTATCAGCTGTCTGTTTTGTTGTCAAATATTGTTCCTTGTCATGAAAACATTAATGAGAAATACATTTGATTATTTTATAGTTTAAATTCGTTTTTCGTCGTAGTTTTTGCTTAGATTATCCCTAAACACCTCCACTTGGGAGAATAATTCAAGACATTGTACGTAGCAATGTCAAGATGCCACGCTTTTGATGATCTAAAGATAATGGTTAAAGAACAACGAAACCAAGGTCATTTGGCTAAAGACGTTAGAGTGTTTACAAAAAACATAGTATGGGAAGAGTTTCTTATTTAACATTTTAAAAGTAAGATGAATATGTATTCTAAGCCTACTCTGTTAGAACCTTTATTAAAACAGTATTGAGCTTCACATTTTTATTTATTGTTAGTTAAAAGTTAGGTTCTTCAAAGTTTTTACTTTTTTTCTGAGTGATAAGTTAAAAGGTTATTTAAATTATTTAATTATATTGAAATATAGTTAATATTATTAACTGGAAACAACTAGTTTAGGTCTAAGTCGTGGTCTAAGTCGGTTTAAACGTCTTAAAAGACTTAGCCTTCTAACCAAACTTTTGTTTTCAAAAGCATTCTGGAGATTATCCCAAGCTTCTTTAGCAGTCTTAGCATTCCTAACATAAGGATAACAAGTAGGCAAAACATTTAAACAAATTTTTGCAAGAGCCTTTTGATCCCTGTTTTTATCTTTAATTTCAGTGTCATCAGATACACAATCCCAAAGTCCATAAATTATTAAGGCAATTTTCATTGAAAAATTCCAATTATTATAATTTTGAAACACCCTCTAGACGTTCAACATTACAATTTCCTCCCATTATAATATTTGTCATAATAGACAATCCTGTATTACTTGAGGTAGGTGTAATAGTAGGAGTAGTTTTAGTGTTTTCTTGTGTAGTTTCCATTTCAGGTCAAACAACTTAAAAATTCAGTTTAAGAAATTAGGTAACAAAATATTGTTCATAAGCCTAGAAATCTTACCAAACACAATCAGTCCTGAATTCTTCATTTTAATGTAGTTTTATACATATCCAAAATGAATTATATCAAACACGTCTTCTGGGCTCATAACCTGATGAAACGAGGGAATAAAATACATAAAATACTTATTATTAATTGATGTAAAGGAAAAATATTAAAACAATAACAATTCAAACTGTACTAGTTTATTATATTATTAGTATGATTAATACTAATTATGATAATAAAACTGAGACACTTGTACACGCACAGGGGTACACTAGACAATGAACATAGTACTGGTAACACAAGCTTGCACGTGGGGTATGCCAGACCCAGGGTGGTGATAACAGCTCAATGATAATAAAACTGAGACACTTGTACACGCACAGGGGTACACTAGACAATGAACATAGTACTGGTAACACAAGCTTGCACGTGGGGTATGCCAGACCCAGGGTGGTGATAACAGCTCAATGATAATAAAACTGAGACACTTGTACACGCACAGGGGTACACTAGACAATGAACATAGTACTGGTAACACAAGCTTGCACGTGGGGTATGCCAGACCCAGGGTGGTGATAACAGCTCAATGATAATAAAACTGAGACACTTGTACACGCACAGGGGTACACTAGACAATGAACATAGTACTGGTAACACAAGCTTGCACGTGGGGTATGCCAGACCCAGGGTGGTGATAACAGCTCAATGATAATAAAACTGAGACACTTGTACACGCACAGGGGTACACTAGACAATGAACATAGTACTGGTAACACAAGCTTGCACGTGGGGTATGCCAGACCCAGGGTGGTGATAACAGCTCAATGATTTGGTCAAGACTAACAGCCCTGCGGCCAGATGATAGCATATGCTTCTGTTATGCTCACCAGGGTTGCCACCATACTTGTAAAATTATAACAACATTTTTGTACGTGGGGGCACAGAGAAGTTATATAAACAGAGTTAAGAAGGATATGGGAAGGCTGTTGCGCGGGTGCCCTTGTTTACATTTTTCCCGCAGTGAAGTGTGCGCATGTCAATTGCTCTTCCTGTTCGTCAAATTCCACTATTTACTCAACTCCAAGCTGGAAGAGAACGTAAGTATCGCTTTGGTGTTTATAGGCCAAGACTATGGGTGGCCGGTCGGCGTTTAAATTGTACCATTTGTGCGAATACCTAGGTCTTTTAACTTTTTGTTATTTTCATGACATATTAAAGACCACAATGTTACTAAAATAATCATGTATTAACAACCTAGGACATTATCAACGTTATAATTATTTTGTTCATAATATATTAAATAATCAAAAGATGGTTAAGCAAGACGTTCTTTTATAGTTAAAACTACCCTCTACCAAGAATTCCTTTTTGAATATTACCTACCACTGTTTGAGAAATACAGAGTTATTGTCACAAAAAAGCTGCTTGCGTATTACATTAGTAGCCTATATATGAGTACAAATTTTAATCAATTGGTCAGAAAATGAATTTACATTACCACAAACATTGAGTAGTTTACTTTTAATTTAGAAAAAACAGATCATCAAAGGATGTACAAAAATGTGTCAGGAGAAAATTGTTTTACCAGGTAGTTGTTAAGTAGTTACCGGTACACCTTTTAGGCATAACTTTTGTAATACCAGTGGATTATTTCGTACACTTATTTTTACATTATGTGAATAATCAAAATAATCAAACGATTTTAATTAGGAAGGTCTAGAACTTTGTAATTTACATTTATTTAACGTCAAACTTAAGAGTGTGAGTTCCTTTAGTATAACAAGTCTTATTACATTGTACAAAGTTAGTTTAGATTTTGCAAACCAGTAAACACTGTCATATTTTTATTTAAGTCCCAGGTTTTAAACGTTTTGCGTATAGGGCTGTGGATTTTTTACACTATTACGTACATCCGGGTTTTAAACTTTCTTTACTGATAAATCTGTTGTTACTTTAAATAGTATGTAAATAATAATGGTTGGCTATTAATAAAAGCCACTTAATGTTTATTTACTAACTATCTTGCAAATGTTTATTTTAATATTTTGTAAATTAAAAGGGTGTCGAACGATTTGATGTAGGAATGTATAAAACGTTATTTTTTATTTGACTTCAAACTTATCGTGTGATTTGTTTACGTTGTTTTACGTGAGTAAGTTGTTTAATGAAGATTTTGTATATTACTGTAAATAATTTTATTGCATAACCAACTTCAATGTAAATACGTAGTATAAGCAAGATAGTTCATTATTTTAAACTCTTTAGAATTTCATTCAAGTGTGTAATGTACTTTTAAACTGTTTTTTCTTTCTACGATAACATTTTGTAATGCATGTACCCACAGTTGAATAGGCTATATTTTAAAAACTTACCAATTAATACATATTTAGAATTTAATAGCGAAAACACAGCAAAGATAAAAATTTCCTGGCCCTAGACTATGTTTAAAACATTCAATTAACATTTTGAGTTATTTAAATTATACAACTACCGTATAGTTCTCCGTATACATATGTATATATGTCCATATGGTAATCACTTACTTTTTAAAGGTCACTGTCTGCATCAAATCATTAAGTATTTATTTATACCTCTCAGCTATTTTAACATTGCACCTATAAAGATATTAGACCTAATGCTACACTGTCCTAATGTACACTGTGGGAAACGGAGCAGGTCTAACAATTAGGTTTACCAGAACACGTTTATAAATATTAATTTCATATTTGGTATCTTTGGAAAGCTTATTTCATTCTGCATTTAACGGAATAGGTTTCAATTAAAGGTCTTGATAATTATTGGAACGACAATTGAAACCGTAACTTGTACTTTGTTCAGCAGCTGGCAGCGGAGTGAGCGTAGCGCAGCGCTGTCGCGACCTGTCGTGTACTCTGTGAACTACGTCCAGTGGGTACACACTCGCTACATGGGGACACGGATTACGCGCTACACAGATATTAACTCTGTTTATATTACTTCTCTGTGGTGGGGGTATGTCATACCCCCAACTCAAATATCTCCTAAGGTAATTTTTCGATATATTAAACTTTGATTGGTAAAAAATAATCCTAACATTTATTTGTTTCATATGTCGGAGCAATTTTTAGCATTGTTTCTCACTAGAACACTTTGTTGGTTTGTTCTTAGGTTTCTGGATACGGAAATGTCAAAGTGAGGATCTGTAATGACTGTTATGACTACATTTTACCAAAAACTGCCCAGGTAAGTAATTCTTTGATTATTCCAATCAAAATAATAACTAAATTAATATAATATATACATTTTCATAATATTCAAAAGTAAATTTACTAAAAATATCACATTAGATCTAGTAGTAGGATGAGGGAGCAAGCTTCCTACAACTACACAGTCAAGGAACACCTCACCTATAAACATGTAGTGCTCTGTTTTTGTCTTACAGCCAGAGCTGATGGGTGGGAGGTCACGTACAGAGAGTAGAGACAGTGAGCCAGAGTGGTTGTTGACTACAGATCTTATCTACAACTACACAGTAAGGGAAGAGTTTACCTACACTCATGCTCCCAGTGTGTCCTTGTGTCTTTCCATTCTCAAACTTCACTCTGAGCACTCATCTTTACTGAGGTAAGGTAATAAAATAATTAATTCTTTGAGTTTAATTTGAAATTATAATTGTATTAAAATTTTTACAGCCACTAAACTTACCTTTATAATTAATTTTAATGGTTTATACTTTATAAAATCATAGCAACTGTTCATAATTACACATTTTACAAAACACAAAAACGAAAATGATAGGCCTATCATTTTCGTTTTTGTGTTTTGTAAAATGTGTGTTTTATTTATTTATTCTGACGACACATCAAGTGGATCCTTTTGTTTGCCTGACGATGGCGGAGATCAGTAAATAACCGCCGAAACATATGTAGCAACTTTGACACTACATGTTAAGGATTGTCTGACGAGGTATGTTTTAACCATTATATGTCATATTACGCAATCCTGGGGCTATGAAAATGAATTTTAATTGTTCATAATTAGTTTGGAAAAACAGGTCCTGAAAGTCAGGGAGATTTTCAGGGTAAAAATTATTCCCGATCTTTGGAGGGGATTACTAATATTTTGGAATTTTTTCTGGATGAGGTTCATGGATTTGCCGCAACTGTTAGTGAAAATGATGATATCCCCTCGATTACGGGGGATGTTTGCATTGCTCGTTAGTGTTAAATTTGGGGGGGGGGGGGGGTGTAAAAATATAAATTATACATGTATGTATGATTTCCAGCATATGTTTTTCACAACCAACAATAATATTACACAATAACATATTGTTGGTTATTAATAATTTTGCTGTGATCGCGGTAGTTGGTTAGGAGCACATACAGTTTTTAAGCTCATGTTTCAACGTTCATAATTTATTACTTGGGTAATGATGCAGTAACAAACCCATTTATATTTTATTAGGACAACTAGCCAAATAATTTACTTTTATTAATAATTTTGCTGTGATCGCGGTAGTTGGTTAGGAGCACATACAGTTTTTAAGCTCATGTTTCAATGTTCATAATTTATTACTTGGGTAATGATGCAGTAACAAACCCATTAATATTTTATTATGACAACTAGCCAAATATACCCGTGGTTTGCAATGGGAATTAAGCCAGCCGCACACCTAATACAGCACGGCATGGCGAAACGTCTTTGCCTCGCCTTGCCGCATCTTGCTATGCCCGATAGAGAATAGCTGCATACATAACGGCACGTCAAGACGTGCACAACAGAGAAGTACCCACTGCTTTCGACATGTGCTGTCACTGCACTTCACATGGTGTTGATCCTTGCGTATGAGCACATCGTTTTGCTGCAAGCCTTTTGCCTGAAAGACAAAAATTGACAAAGCTGCGTTGCCTTGCCATGCCGCGTCCGATGATGTGTGCGGCATCTCCATTTCAAATAATAGAAACCTAGTCGCATAAGGCGCCTTAAGACATAACGTCGTGCCGTGCTGCATCTGGTGTGCGCCCGGCCTTAGGATGCAGAAGATGAAAAAATATTGGTTCTTGGAAAATGCAAATGAAAATAGGTGGCCTAGGAGCGTATTCCTAGTTTACTAGTATACTGTAGATGGTTTGTTTATATGTTATGACTTTTCTGTTTACATTTTCCTTGTTAACTCGTAACACCATAATGGCTACTTGGTAACCCATAAGGTCAATGTTAAAAATATTAATATCATTTGAAGTTTTAACAATACACACAATTTTAGAACAGAGCCTAGTATAATAGTATATTACTTTACTAGTACGGGAAAATTGGTGTTTACCAGACGAGTATGGTTGTTCCCCAACCGAGTACAGTAAACACATTTTAGACGAGTGGTGTACAATAGTTCAGGTTCATTATCCTACTCCGAACTAACCTAACAATAAAAATAATACTAATCCATTATTTGAAGCCTGTTTAAAAAGTATCCACCTTGTTCAGTAAAAGCATAGTTTATTGATCGATTTGTTTTAACTTGTGATCTCCTTCAAAATAGTCCTCTTGGGACTTCACACACTTATTCCAGCGCTCCTTCACTTTTGGAAACAAGCCTGGAACTCTTTCTTCTTAAAAGACTTCAGACGAGTTGTCACATTTTGCATTATCTCATTTCTGCTCTGAAATCGGGACCATTTAAGCAGCATCTTCATGGTAGGGAACAGTCAGAAGGCAATTGGTGCCATATCCAGTGAGTAGGGGGCCTGGCGGAGCACAGGAAAGCCATATTTTGCCAAGAAGCCTTGAACAAGATTGGAACAATGCGCTGGAGCTTTGTCCTGATGAAGTCACCAAGAGTTAGTGGCCCACAGATTGGTACGCTTGCGATGCACTGCATTGCGCATGCTGCGTAGAACTTCTAAGTAGTACTCTTTAGTAATGTTTTGTCCCTAAGGTGCGTACTCATGATAAACTACTCCATTGCAGTAGAAAAAACAGTCATTAGACTTTGATTTTGCTTTGAACTTGTCGTGCTTTTTTTGTCCACGGCAATGTTGAGTGTTTCCACTGATATTACTGCGTCTTGGTTTCGGGATCATACCTGTACAACCACAACTCATTACAAGTTAGGCTATAACTTTTTTTTAGAAAGTTTAGGTCATTCTGAATGCATTCCAGCATATCTTGAGTAACTTCAAGCCACAATTCTATTTGTTCCTCTTTCAAGTTCTTTACAAAAGGATTTTTAGGAACTCTGCGCATAGCCAAATCCTCTGTTAAAAGTAAATTAACTGAATACTGATTCCAACTTCCGTAGCTAGTTCACAAACAGTTATACTTTGATCCTCCATCACTAAAAATCAAACTTGATCGATAACTTCATCGTTTCGACTTGTTGATGGTCTCCCAGAACGAGGTTCACTGTTCACCAAATTGCGGCCATCTTTGAATCTGTTGTACCACTCTTTTCTGTGTTACACCCATAGTGTTTTCTCCAAAGACTTGTTGAATTTTAAGAATCGTTTGAGTTTGGGTATCACCCAGTTTCTGGCAAAATTTAATGGAGCATCGCTGTTCCACCTGTTTTGCACAAAACGAATACTACACACACAGTTTAACGTTTGGGGCCCGTTTGGGATCCTATATTTGCCAGGAGGTACTGCAGGCAGAATAAGTCTTTTGCGGATGACAAACTTTTTTTATTCCGTGTAATAAACGCAAAGCCGAATAGCACCATCCTTTTTTTGGTGCTACTACTATAGGGCACACCAGTCAGTTGCTTCTGTGACAGGAACAATAATACCTGACTTAACCATATTGTCCAGTTCAGCCTTAAGTTTAGCCTTTAAGGGTAAAGCAACCTGACCAGGGCTGGATACTGCAAATGGTTTGGCATCATCAGATAATTTAATGACGTATTGGTCACCTTTTACAACTCCCAAATCGTTGAAAACATTATAGGCTACTTAGTCACCCACCCGACATCTGAGTCAACTTGATCTACAGACTTATACAACAAACCAAAGGCAATGATTGCTGGCCTTCCTAGTAATGGCTCTTTTTGGCCCTCCACAACACACAACTCCATTTGAGTTTCAAGAGAGTTTTTCCTAAGAGTTACTTTAGAGACCCCTATCAGAACCATTTTGCTGTTACCAGCACCATGCAAAATACAGGACGATGGCTTAACTGTAAGTTTCAATTTCTTGGCCAGATCTGGACCACAGAAAAAACATCTAAACCTGAATCGATTTTCCAGTTAATTTAACTGAAACCCCATTTATGTCAAACAAATGGTGTCAAACAAATCATTGTTTCCTTGGACTGAAGCTAAATAAATACTATCCAAACCTACCACAGATGACTCACCCGAATCACTTTTAGAGGAGGAGTAGGTAACATCAGCTCCAACCTGATTTAAAGAAGGACGACGTTTGTGAGGACACATAGGCCGCCAATGTCCAATATGCCTGCAGCCGTGACACTGAGACTTTGCTGGACAGTAGGATGAGTGTCTTCCCGGTGATCTATCTGTTCTACCACATTTGGAATACTAGTAAGATTTCATATTTTTATTATTCCTTGCAACCTTCATAACTCCATTATGATCATCTGCATCCTCGGATCCCGATTTTCCTTGTCAAATTGCATCCTGCTGTTCTTCAATGGCAACAGATTGCCTGGTTATGGCTTCTTCTAACGTAAGATCTGTCTGGAGCTGCAATTTTGTCGATAATGTCCTATTTGACAAACCTGAAACAAATTTTAGTAACAAAATATCCATGTTGAAGTTGCATTTGTCACCCAACCATTCACATTTATTACCCAATTCATAAAGATCATTTATATAGCTGTCAACAGACTTGTTTGGTCCTTGCTCTCTTTGAAGAAACCTTGTTCTTTCATAAACCAGGTTTTTACAAACTGAGAAATAGTCATCATATTTGTTTTTCACCTGTTCACAAGTCTTCCTTTCATCAGGGGGAAGTCCAATGGATGTGAGAAATAAACCAGCTTCACTTCCTAAACAATAGACTAGACAGTTTACCTGCTGGTTCTCCTCTTTCTTTGATAATCCCGATGCTGAGCGATAAACTTCAAATCTTTGTATCCCTTGAGACCATTTTGCAGGTTCACGGGTATTAAAAGGCTCCGGTGGCTCTAGATGAACAATACTCACAGGTGGAGATGGCTTTTGCGATTTCTTCAAAAAATCAGTCAACACTTTTGTCAGTTTATCAATTTCCGACAATTCTGCCATTGTGGTTGTTAAGGTCCAATTCCTATCCTGCGACTGTTACGACTCTAACCGCGCGTCTAGAGCCGTACGGCTCCAGACGCTTATCTTAATTCCTATGCGGGGACTCCTGCAACTCCCACGATTAGTGACTAGTGCAATTGCACTCTTGGTCGTCATGGAATAAGCACAGTTGGCAGCTTAATTTGTTGAAAGTCTTAATTTGTTAAATGTATCAGTCTATAGAATACCAGGAAATTGCATTAGTAATTTATTTCTTAAAAAAATTTCAAAGCTTCCTAACTGTTTTTTGAAAATTGAGGCAAAAAAGAAACAAATTGTTATAGCAGCTGATTTTAATATTAACTTTCATTGTGATTTAGCCTCCGGATAACCAATATTTCAA